ACAGCCTGTACTGTCTGCACAGACAGCCCATGCTGTCTGCCAGCTTAGTTCACATTTCGCACACTAAGGTGCTGCCCTCTGTAGCCAGGCCTCTTGGTAGGCATGCCAGCCTGTCTGCCCATGCCTCCGCCTCACTCAGACAGCGGCCTAGCAGGAAGACACAAGGCCTTACTCCCTAGCTCTCTCTCGTGGGATGACCCTTCCCGGGCCATGGGCACAACACAAGCCTGTGTACCCACCACTACTTAACAATAAAGTAAGAAGCCTCTGAAGAAGTTTATCATTAACCACCCGCTTGCAGCACCTACCAAACAAACCCATTAAACATTGGTAGCAGCGGTGGTCGCAGCAGTGTGTTTGCCCAGAGAAAGGAAGGAAGGAATGAATGAAGTTGTTCACTTCATCCCCCTACACAACAAGCATCCGTCTCTCAACGAGTTATCCTGATGTCACGTCTGCACGTTTGAGCATCCAGGATCCAGCCGAAATTTGCCGGAATTCTTCGAGAATTGTGACTCCACGCTACAGCGTCCCACGCTGTTTCTCAAGTCACGTGTTCAGCGTCACTTGTATGTTGCTGCTGTTGTTGTTCAGCTCAGCACAGCTGTTTCAGAAAGACAGAGGTGAGTTTTGTGGTGATTTCTGCGTCCAGTGTGAGCTTCTCCACATGTTTGTGGGTGGGGGAGGAGGAGAGGAAGTGGCCGTTCCTCACCTTGCCCATGCTCGCCCTACTCACGCTCACCTGTCTACCATACACTCACCACTGCTCACTCCCTCTGCTGTGTTTTCTGCTGTTTTCCATGTGAATTCATTGCCAGAGCTGTGTATCCGAGTGCCCGAGGCCACTCGAAGCTACGTAGGTCAGCATGCCACGTAGATCACGACACCACGTGGATCACGACGCCACGTTGGGTGTGGGTGATGTCACGTGGACCTACAAACCATGTGAGTTACCGAGCCAGATGTCCCAGGCCTCATGCTGTGGTCTGCTGCCCGCATCACATCGACGTCACCCACGATGCTGGCCGACTTCATGACGTCACGATGTCTGCTGACGTCACCTCACGATGTCTGCCTGACATCACCTCGAGATGTCTGCTGACATCACAGTGCTGCTGACGTCACCTCGCGACATCACGCCTGACATCACATGATGTCACCATGAGTGTTCAGTAATTATTTTAGTATTGTCGAGAAGATTGAGAGAAGATATATGTAGTGTTAATTAATTCCTCTCAGTCAGTGTTCTCACATGTTAGTGTACCATATGTACCGCGGTGTGTTTAAAGTTTCCGTGTGTCCAGTGAGGTCTGAGCCAGACCTGAGTAGCACCACTGTGCTAAGTCACCCGATGTGACCAGTGCGTATGACAGCTGATGTCAAGACAGCCCTGAGTGACCAAGCCCTCTTGTACAGAAAGCTTTTATGCTCGTCGCTCGTGATGTTCTGCAGAATCGTACCTGCTACGATTCCCATCGAGATTTGTTTCACTTCACCTCCAAACCTTCAGAGTGCAGTTATATGTAGAGAAACAAGTCTGGGGATGCTTAGACTAACCTCTGCTATAACTCCAACTGTCGAGAGAATGACACGCTGTGTCAGCCTCGTGTCACAAGCTTCAGTGAGCAGCCTGCACAAAGAAGATGTCACTTTGACTGCTAGCTCTCTCACTGCAGTCTGGTGTATGATGTTACGACTCCCAGATGTTTCGCCCAGTCGTCTCTGCCACGACTCGCTCCACAACTCGCTCCACGCTCGCCGGCAGTGACAGCCCAGCGACAGTACCAGTCGAGAAGTGTCCTCCTGAGTCGCTTGCCAGAAGTCCTGCCCAGTTGCCGAGTTTTGTCGATGCCTCACTCGAGGGCACCAGCATGTCGTGCCCCAGGTTGAGTGAAACCTGCAGCGACTCCTACGATGACTGCTTCACCATTCCAGAGGAGACCATAACCTGTTACATCACAGCTCAGCCGCAGCGATGTCTCCTGTGTTGCAGTATCTGTCCAGACGCAGGAAGGCGTGCAGTGATGCCCTTCGACGCTCATTGCCTATGGCCACGATGTTTAGCACGCCCCACATGTTTTTTTCTTCCCTCCCTGTAGGAAGTTTTTTTTCCATGTCCATATGTATATATATGTTTTTATTTTGTGTTCTGTGCCCTGTTCCTACGAGAGAGAGACCGAGTTCCTTTTACCACCAGTATCATCACGTCGGGACAACGAGAGGTAGGTGGCCGAGCGTATGTAGACAGCCTGTACTGTCTGCACAGACAGCCCATGCTGTCTGCCAGCTTAGTTCACATTTCGCGCACTAAGGTGCTGCCCTCTGTAGCCAGGCCTCTCGGTAGGCACGCCAGCCTGTCTGCCCATGCCTCCGCCTCACTCAGACAGCGGCCTAGCAGGAAGACACAAGGCCTTACTCCCTAGCTCTCTCTCGTGGGATGGCCCTTCCTGGGCCATGGGCACAACACAAGCCTGTGTACCCACCACTACTTAACAATAAAGTAAGAAGCCTCCGAAGACGTATCATTTACTCCCCGCTACCAGAACACCAAACAAACCCGTTATAAGAGTTCCGGGGGTCAACGCCCCCGTGGCCCAGTCTGTGACCAGGCCTCCTGGTGGATCAGAGCCTGATCAACCAGGCTGTTACTGCTGGCTGCACGCAAACCAACGTACGAGCCACAGCCCGGCTGGTCAGGTACTGACTTTAGTCAAAGTATTACAGAGACATATGGTAAGTTTATTTAGGTACAACTGCACAATTTTTAGATGATTACAATTGTCTTAGTAACATATGCAAAAATTGTGAACGAGCGACACATGATGCAAAACAACTACGGGGGAGGGGGTAAAAGATAACTCTAGGCCTCTCGTGTTGTGAGCAATGCATCATCAGGAGCGTGCAGTGTTGCAGACATGAGTAGGAAGTCAATGGAGAAGCGCTCAAGGGAACGACTCCAGCTAGAGTCGTTTTCTTGAGTGCTTCTACCTGGACTTCCTACTAATTTCAGCACACTGCAAGCTCCTGATGTGTTGATTGTAATACGAAAGGCCTAGAGCTATTTTTTAACTCCCCCCCCACGTGGTTGTTGAGCATAATATCGTATGTGTAAATAACTTACGATAACCCCCAAAAATTTAACAGGTGATTTATTTTCAATGGGTTCATTGGGCCCAGGGACTAGAACCCAACATTGAAGTCAGTTAAACAAGTTACACCAACAATGAACAATTTACAAACGAATTGAATATGGGGAAAAATATTAACAAACAGTCTTCAAAGCCAGACGTTACCTGGAGTTTGCCTGGAGAGGGTTTCGGGGGTTAACGCCCCCGCAGCCCGGTCTGAGACCAGGCCTCATGGTGGATCAGAATCTGATCAACCAGGCTGTTACTGCTGCCCTCACGCAAGCTGACGTACGAACCACAGCCCGGTTGGTCAGGTGCTGACTTTAGGTGCCTGTCCGGTACCTTCTTGAAGACAGCCAGGAGTCTATTGGTAATCCCCCTTATATATGCTGGGAGGCAGTTGAACAGTCTTGGGCCCCTGACACTTGTGTTGTCTCTTAACGTGTTCGTGGCGCCTCTGCTTTTCATCGGGGTAATGTTGCATCTCCTGCCGAGTCTTTTGCTTTCACAGGGAGTGATTTTCGTGTGCAAGTTTGATACCAATTCCTCCAGGACCTTCCAAGTGTATATTATCAAGTATCTCCCTCGCCTGCGTTCCAGAGAATGCAGATCAAGGACCTTCAACCGTTCCCAGTAGTTTAGGCACCTTATCGCATTTATTTGTGCCGTGAAAATTCTTTGTACACTCTCCAGGTCTACAATGTCGCCAGCCTTGAAGGGGGCCGTTAGTGTACAGCAGTATTCCAGCCTAGAGAGAACAAGCGATTTGAAGAGAATCATCATGGGCTTGGCATCCCTAGTTTTGAAGGTTCTCATTATCCATCCTATCATTTTCCTAGCGGATGAGGTAGAGACATTGTTGTGGTTTTTGAAGGCGAGATTCTCTGACATTATCACTCCCATGTCCTTCACATTACTTTTCCGCTCTATTGTATGGTTAGAATTTGTGGTATACCACTGAGTTATTTTTTTCAAGATCACTTTGCCATGCCTTTTTTTTTGGGGGGGGGGTTACCCTAGATAAATCACACACATTATCAGACATAATAACTGTATTCATATATACTTGTATCTAAATAATCTTATTCACAAAGCCAGGAATTAGTGCTGAGTTCTCGTTTGAGGGTCATTTTGACTGACTTTTTTGGGGGTTATCCCAGATAAATCACACACGTTACTAGGTATAATAACTGTACTCATGTGTACCTCTAGGTAAAGTGAGTTACTAACTGTCTAACTGAATCTGGATTAAAAAAAAAGCCAGTAACGAGTCGTCTGGAACCAGGAATTACTACTGTAAGTTCTTGTTTCACGATCACTTTGTCTGATTTTTATGGGGTTATCCCAGGTAAATTGCTCATAAATTAGTAGGCATAATAACTATACTCATGTGTAGCTGTAGGCAAATAAACTTACTAATTGAATTTAGATAAAACAAATCCAGTAACTAATCAGGAGACAAATTGCTGCTGTGAGTTCTTGTTTCAAGGTCACTTTGTTTGACTCTTTTTGGGGGGTTATCCCAGGTACAGGACACACACGTTACTAACTATGATAAGAATATTCATGTAACTGTAAGTCAATACAGTTAATTAGTTTAAAAGTTTAACACCTTTATTATGTACACCATACCCATCCTGTGGGCTGTGGTCAAAGTATTACAGAGACACATAATGAGTTTAGGGACTGGACCGTAGAGTTATGATAGCTGAACAAGTTAATAAAGGTAATAGAGTATTTACATGTATATATAAGAGTTAATAAGTAAGTTATAGTGGTTTATAATTCATGGCTGGCGGGGTAGAGGACGCATGGCGAGGCTGTTGCTGCTGCTGCTGCTGCTGCTGCTGCTGCTGCTGCTCACCAGCGCCATCTCTACCACAGGTTTGAGTTGCAGTGTTTTTCCTGTCGCGATATTTCTGCACGCTCAGATACAAGGTATTGTGCTCTGCTCTTGTGCTCTATACCTGCCCATGAGGGCTCTGGCGAGTCTGTTTGCATGTAGATAATGGATGGGAGTGGGTGGAGGGTGTTATGGACGCCTGGGGAGGATGAAAAAATTATTTGTTTTGGGGACGGGGGAATTCTTGGTGACGACACACTTGTCAGCAACAAAAGAAGGAACAGATATTTGTGTTTGGTGTGGTTGTGTTGGGTGTGTGTGGGAGGTGAGAGGTGTGGTGGGTGTGAGGGAGAGTGTGTGGTGGTGAAGGAGGCAGTGTGGTGGTGAGGGAGAGGCACCAGCGGCACTGATGATGCTCTAAACCCTCACCACTACAAACTTGCTTGTCACTGCCTCCTCCAGCTCCTCCTCCACTCTTATCTTGTCATTTGTCTCTTAACAACCATAGACGAGTGTTGCAACAGGTTAAATGGGCAGCATAATAACATTCTTCACTGCCTAGCTAGGCCTAACACTTCCTGTGCTTACAATCAATATTTAAATCTTTCTATTTAAAATTTTTATAAACGTTTTTTTGTATTAAATTTGGTTCAATATTGTCCACAAAGTATCCATTAAAGTCATTGAATTGTCAAGTTGGTGACATCGGTGAATTATCCAGACAGCAATTTGTTGATTTAGTAGCATATAACCATGAGTACTCTAACACTAATTTAGTATAAGTTTTAATAACCTAGGCTATGTTAGGTTATTACTTGCACATTATTTTAATAATTTTTTATAGGGGAGACCTCGTTGCCCCATTTGAAAATATCTGAAGTTTCCCCTAATCAATCTGTGACTTATAATGTCCAAGATCACTATTATTCACCCACAGACACTTTTGCTGTTACTTTGTACTAATCCAAGGCTGTTATATTGAGTGACTTCACAGTAATTGTGACTGTAGGGGTTGTGTTATTTTCTAAGACTGGTATAGAACAGTGATTATCATTGAATGTGACTGATGTCTCGTGTTTTCCTACTGGTGATGTGTTTTCTGTACATTTAATTAAACTATTGGCAAGCCCTTGCCTAGCACCCAACTTACCAAACCTACCCAACTTACCATACCATTTGATAATCATTACCAAACCTAAAGTAAGACGTGCATTAGGAGAACATTAAGGATGACATTTTGCCACTAGTGGCTTTTTTATAGTTGTAATGCAGAGTTAAAAGCAATGTGCGGTGCGACCCAGACCAAGGTTGCTCGTTAATACAAGTGGGCAGGGCTGTGTATTTCATGAGTAGGAAGGGATCTGTGAAGAATCAGCCTAGAATGGGCCAGTAGGCCTACTGCAGAGCTCCTCCATTCTTATATATACTACATGTATATATTTGTTTTCAACAGATAGCAGTGTCTTTGTTTGGTAAGATCATTTTGGCAAGAATTCTGTTGATGCTAAAGTGCCCTTAGTTTTGTGCAGTTGTTTAAATTTGACAGAATTGAGGCTTCCAGGTACTAAGCACCTAAATATTACACTCATAAGCAGTTCTCTCTGCACCTCATGATCATGTTAGCTACAGTGTTGGGCATGTTCACATCACTGCTGCAGGCATGCATGTTCCCTCAACAAGGGACCCCTAAACACTGGTGTTGGTATCTATTGTGCTGGTTGGTTTTGGTTAAACTAGGTCCCTAATGGTGGTTGTGGAAGTGGTTACTACTTTCATGTGGCTGCCTAAGCAACGTGTGCTGGCCACACTGCTGATAGGAGGGACGATGTAACTGGAGAAAGTTCCAGTTTTGTTGCTATCTGATGTGTGGGTTGGAGATTCTGTGAGCTTTAATCCATTCATTGTACAGACCCCCCTAAATTAATAGTGCTCACTGTCTACATTTAAAAAAAAATTCTGAAATGGTAGTCCCTAAAGAACAAAATTTTATGTGAAGTTTATGGAATTACACGTCATATAGTTAGTGGTCTGGGCACAAATTATGCAGTGGCAATTTTTACTGACAGTCCTATTTTAAGCCAATTCCATTACTCAGTTTGACCAAATTCTTAACTATTTAACTAGTGTGCCTCCTATTAAGAACAAGAAACCACCCATTCAACTATCATAACTATCCTATAAAGTGCACAAATTGGTAATCATGTCTACAAACATCTCCTATATAACTTGCCTTCCATTTTGAATTCATCAACACACAAAACCAAAGATTTGCCCTATTTCTTGGATTAAAAAAAATACAGGATAACCAAAAACAAAAAGCAAACAGTTTTTGTGCAGTATAAAATAGTTTAAATATAATTAAAGTGTTAAGCACAAAAGAAAGCCACTAACATGCATGTGCATTTTAGCCGACTAATCCTAATGCTAACAGACTACTCCTTGATAACTGTAACAGCACACAGCCACAATATGAGACACAAATCACACTTGGATACCCCTCGTGTCCATCTCTCCCTCTGCAGAAATGCTATGCATGTAAAGGGCCCGAAGATCTGTAATTCATTGCTAGAACACACTAAAGGACCCCTGTCTGCAAATCAGTTTAAGGCTCTACTAAGAAATCACCTTAACACCTATTACAACCCAGGAACAAGGCCTGTTATCCTGGGTGTAAAGGGGAGCAAGGAGCAGAACAAACACAGCTGAATGACTGAATTATGCTTTCCTGACCAAGTGCGATTGTAAGTATTTACAAGTATGTACAATATATACAGTTGGAAATATATGTGTACAACATGGTTAATCAAAAGGCAAAGACACAGCCTGGAGACAGAATGGACAACCGTGTTCAACCAGCAGCTAGGTGAAAATGACAAGGGTGAGAGAGTGGTATCCACGTCACCTCCACAATTGCCAGTTCCACAATATGATTGGTTGAACCTAGGTTCTGATTTGACGATGGGGCCCCCAAATCATCGAACCCATAGCGACCTGGTTCGCTGGTTGGAAGGTAGCCTTTTATGAGTGTGTTCACATGCTCCGAATAAAGGGTACATACTCTTTGCATGCAACAACACCCAAAATTAACCAGACAAACCATACATAATACCTACCAGTTACTCAAAAGCTACTCATATTGTGCTGAGGATTACTCAGCCACTTACCCACTACTTCAAAATTGGGATGTCTAAATTTCATTGTTTTAAATAGTACAAATTGTAATAAATCATTTTGTAAATTGTTCTATTGTAATACTGTAATCTTTACAAACTAATTCAATAGTGTAATTATTCTCTATTAGACTTATCAAAGACATGCAGCATTACCTAATTGAATATTTAGTTCTCTTGTACCCTTTTAACTTATTTAATGACCATATGAACTATTATTGCCTTCCTAATCTTGAGTTAATTTTTAAGTTTGCCTGAAATGCTCTGCATACAAAGGGGCTTTTGCCATGTATACCCAATTGTTATATTCCTCTGTACAACCATGTATCATGTCAAAATAAACCTCTTGTTCTTACTTAAGGTATTGAGTGGTACAATTTTAAGTATGCATTATTACAGAGAGGTAGCAAAAATAGTACAAATTTAAGTACATAAGTATTAATACTTTAAACAGATTCAGGCTATGGAATAGTTTTATTAGAGATGAAGAGACAGGAAGTAGCTAGATGAGGTTTTGTTTGGTACAGTATAACCTGGTCACACACCAGGAGGCCTGGTCACAGACCGGGCCGCAGGGGCGTTGACCCCCGGAACTCTCTCCAGGTAAACTCCAGGTAAATAGTGTTTGTGTAGTTAGGGAGACGAGGTGATTTTTAATTATAGCTCTTAAACTGATTAATAATAACAATATAATATCTTTATTTTCTACAAGTACATGTGCATGGTATACAGGCCTAGCTGACATTAGTGACATATGTACTACTATATAGAAAGCTCCTGTTATGCAGAGCATATTGGGAAAATTAGGTCCTTGTCCCAGGATGCGACCCACACCAGTCGGCTAACACCCCGGTACCCATTTTACTGATGGGTGAACATAGACAAGCAGTGTAAAGAAACATGCCCAATGTTTCTACCTGCGCTGGGAATTGAACGCAGACCCTTGCCGTGTGAAGCGAGAGCTTTAGCGATCAGGCTACGGGGCCTGATTAGACCTTTTGCTGGTTTGGGCAGTGAAATCCAGATCTTGGGGCCCTTTACACTCATTGCATTGTTGCATAGGGTGAGATGGACACTGGGGAGGTCGAAGAGAGTTTTGTGCCTTGTGTTGTGCCCATGTGTTCTGTTGACACTTTCAAGAAGTTTGAGGGGAGAGTTTATATTGAAGTTTAATGTTCTATATACAGCCTCTCCTCACTAACAGTGTACTCGTTTACCGATGACTTGGACTTATGATGGGCTCTCTGACCAGTATGCATACCTAAATAATGTGTATTAGAGTTGATTCCCTCTATTCTGTTTAATACAGTATACAGTACACTGCTGTATAAGCATTTAAAAATGTGCCAGAAGTTTTATAAATGGTGCAAAGATATCAAAACAATATCAAAGATGGTTGACACAAACCCACTACCATTATAGTATGCTCCTCACTTAGCGACGAATTCGTTTACCGATGTGGTCTTAGGAACGGATCTCTGGAACTCCATCGTTAAGTGAGGAAAGGCTGTACAGTGGACCCTCGATTTTTGTGACTAATCCATTCCAGAGAGTGATGAAACCGAAAATCACGAAAACCGAAATAATTTTCCCCATAAGAAATAATGTAAATCCAATTAATCCGTTTCAGACACCCAAAAGTATTAACAAAATACATTTTATAGAAAATAACTATAGTTTTACATACAGAAAACAATGAGAAATAAATATAAAGTGCTAATGAAATGGATAAATGAACATTTAAATCACTTTTACCTTTGATAAATTAGACACATGTGCAACTCTTGGGTATCTTTATTGAGGAAATGTTTCGCCACACAGTGGCTTCATCAGTCCATACATAGGAGAAACTTGAAGAACAGGAGGAGAATGAGGTAATCAGTCCCTCAACCTTGAGTCGATGTGTTCAGTCCATCAATCTAATTTATCAACATGTCGGTTCTCTGAACCATTCATCTACAAACACTTTTACCTTTATTGAAGAGTCTTGTTGGCGTATGGAGGGAGGAGAGTTTATTGAAGGGAGACAGGACAAAATGCTTAAATACGACTAATATCATATCTACAGGTTATTTATCTATCACAATTAATCTATTATGACATAATAAACAATATTAATAACATAAAAACATGATATATACTTTAGAATGAATAAAATGTCATTACTTATGTGAGGAGTGGTGGTGGTGGGTTTATCAGTGCTACTGACAGCACAAGCCGTACATATATTGGTGGCGGCAGCGGCAGCAGAGGCCACCACCACTATTCACACTGAAACAATGTACATAACTTATAAATAAATATTTACACTTACCTTGGAGATGCTGGCATTGGTTTAGGGTGGTGGAAGATACGCAGGCAGCGTATCTTGTCAGTGGCCCTATATACCTCCAACAACATTGGAGGAGTTAGTTTCGTGTCCTTTTTTAATCACTTGACTTACTTGCTACACTTTATCGCTGGCTGGACTATAGACTTTATCAACTCCTGCTGCTTTAGTATCCTACTTATTGTATAATAACTGAAGAAGGCACATTCTCCCCTCTTTCTTCCTCCTCCACTTTGGTACTTTGCTATGAGTTTTTTTCTTGAATTCTATAGTGTTTCACACCATCTTTACCATAGGGCTGGCACTAGGAGCTTTCTTTGGGCCCATGGTGGCTTATTTAGCAGTCACACACACAAAAAACAAGCGCAAAAAACAATGGATTATTATGAAATGTTTCGTATGACCTTGCAGGGTAATGTGTACTCGCCAAGAAACAAACAATGCCACACTGACTCAGGATGGTGTGTGGGGGGCTTTGTGTGCATGCGGGCACTTGGATGTACGACCAATGAAAACAGACTATATTTTGACAAAAAAAAAGTCAGCAATAACCGAAAATCACGAAAACAGAGGGAGCACTGTATATATAATAGGCAGTGTAATACGAGTGCATATTTTGTATATTTAGTAAGTTCAAACTCATGAAGAGTGGGAGGGGGGATATTGTTTGGCACAGGAATGGGGTGGTAATCCACACAGCAGCTTTTAGTTAGGTTATTAATGGTTTAAGATTAGCCATAGTAGATCCCCAAGCACAAGTACCATAGGTGATGTAAGGGTAGATTAAGGAGTGGTATAGTGTAAGTAGTGTTGTTTGGGATACATAGTACTGTATTTGGAGAGGATGTCGACTGTTTTGGAGACCTTATTTGTGTGTTGGATGTGGGTATGAAATTTCAGGTTGCAGTCAAGGTGAAGACCTAAAAATTTGTCTTTAGTGTGTTGTAATGGGAGTAACCATCAGTGGCAGCTTGTCCATAGGAGCTTCAGTCCCCTCAGATGCTTACTGCCAGATGTATGACTTCATCAACCTTACACTAAAATAATTTGGAACTGACAAATATATTACAGGAAAAATCTGTTGTATGTTGTTTTCAATGTATTTATAGGCGAATTTCTATTTTTGTTGAAACTAGATAAAAATTATTAAAAATAGAAGTTTGATGTGGTACAATAGTATAGGTATTACTGGTGCTATGAGCCACCACTGATAACCATTGGTCAGTATATTAAGTTGGATATTCAAAGCTGTTTCCAAATAGCATGTAGTAGGTTTTGTCTATATTGAGGGTGAGTTTGTTGGTCATCATCCATGTAAATATTTTTAGTAGCTGGATTTGAGTGGGAGAAGACATAAGTAGTGTCATCTGCAAATAGAACAGGTTTAAGGAGATGAGATGGCTACAGGCTGAATTGATGAGGTTACACCGTTTGTGGAGAGACACTGGTGTCTGTTGCCAAGATAAGAATTTAGGTATGCAAGGGTATGTCCTCTGACCCCATAATGTTATAATTTAAGGTGCAGGACATTGTGGTTCACTGTGTCTAATGCTGTCTGCAGGTCCATGAAGAGTCCGAGAGGTTATTTCCCCCCTACCCCCACAAGCGCTGCATAAGCAGTTCGAGCATTTGTAAAAGTGCATAATTCGTACTTTTTTTTTTTTGGCCTAAACCCTAACTGGCAGGGATTAAGTATGTTGTGAGATATCAGGTAGGAGTAAACTCACTTGTGTATTATTTTTTCAAAGATTTTAGGTAGTAGAGACAAGTTTGATATAGGCCTGTATTCACTTCACTTGGATCTCCTCTCTTGAGGATTGGGGTTACCTGTGCTATCTTGAGTATGGATAGAAAAGTTGAAGATTCCACTAATTTGTTAAACAGAGTTGCAAGAGCAGTGTTTGCAGTTTTCGAAAACCCAGGATTTCAGAGGGTTCTCTAGGTCTTTCTCATATCCCCTTTTCTTTCTTTCTTTCAACACACCGGCCGTATCCCACCGAGGCGGGGTGGCCCAAAAGGAAAAACGAAAGTTTCTCCTTTTACATTTAGTAATATATACAGGAGAAGAGGTTACTAGCCCCTTGCTCCCGGCATTTTAGTTGCCTCCTACAACACGCATGGCTTACGGAGGAAGAATTCTGTTCCACTTCCCCATGGAGGTAAGAGAAAATAAACAACAAGAACAAGAACTAGTAAGAAAATATTAGAAAACCCAGAGGGGTGTGTATATATATGCTTGTACATGTATGTGAAGTGTGACCTAAGTGTAAGTAGAAGTAGCAAGACATACCTGAAATCTTGCATGTTTATGAGACAGAAAAATGGGCACCAGCAATCCTACCATCATTTAAAACAATTACAGGCTTCCGTTTTACACTCACTTGGCAGGACGGTAGTACCTCCCTGGGCGGTTGCTGTCTACCAACCTACTACCTATATATCCCCTTTTATTTTGTTACATCTGCTTGCATAAGAAAGTTTTTTGGACTCATTAGATTAGTAAGTATTGACGTATATCATTTAGATTGTTCTTTTGTTATTAAGCCCAGTCTGAACTGTTTCATATCGATGTTTTTCAATGGATTTGAGGATGCTATTTGTGAACTATGGGCTGTTTAGTCTCTGCCATAATCTGTCTAGTGTTAATTGGACAATGCCTGTCTTTTTTTTTTAAGAAAAATTTTGACACATTCATCAATATCGTAGCTATCTGCTAACTCTGTCAGTCAGTGCCCACTTAATGCTGAAATAATTATTGATGATTCATCATGGAGACAAAATAATGCTTTACTAGTGTTTTGTGACAATTTACTCATGTTGGTTATGAGGAAAGTGGGGTAGCGATCTGTGGTGTTATTGGTTATTATTCCTGTTTTGAGAGGTGATATAGTATTGGTCCAGATATGGTAAGGTAATGAGGCACCTTAATCGGAATAATTTTGGCTTAGTTATAGATGGTAGTAGTAAGCAGTTGTTCATAGTGTTTGTGATGTCTACTTGAGGGTCAGCTACTTGGATGAGGTTTATATTGAAGTCGCCAGCAAGCATAAGGTGGTGGTTACTTATCTCTGTGTCATTTATGTTTTCTAGGTTGTCACTGAATGTGTAAGTATTTGTGAGGTAACCTATAGATTGCTCCAACTGTAATAGGGGTTTTTAGGTTTTTATTTGAGAATTTAGCAAATATATATTCATCATTCTTGTCCCTGGTACATGTAGATTTAATATATTCCAGTTCTGAATGGTAGATAGCAGTACTGGGAATGATTGGTCATGGTTTACAACATTCCATTAATTGAATCAGACACAGTAGAAATGCACAAAACAGACTGGGGGTGTAGGGGGGTTGGGTATTACCCATCCTCAGGAAAGTCTAAAAATCGAATTTTTCTGCTACTTTGAGGCCAATTTCAAACTACTACTACATCTTTGAGCCAACCAGTATAATCTGTCATATGTCTTCCATTCTATCAATTGATACCAAGAAACACCCAATAAAACCATAAAAGCAATCATGGAAAACACCTCAAAATTGCTTTTTTAAACCAAACACCAGGTTTTGCTTTTACCATGCATGATATAAGGCAGGATTTTTTTTATATTGTGCTTGCTGCACAGACCCATTCTCTCTTTCTAGGCCAAAATTTATTGCACACAGCTTATGAGTGACCTGAGCTTGTGACTTAATCAACATCACAGACCCTGGCATCAGTAATGTAGTTCTACATCTGTCTTGACTGATTTCTACTGTAACTTACAGCTAGGCATTAAATAAGGACCCCATTGGAAATAAGTCACTCTGATAATTGTACTTGTGTACCTGTACCTAAATAAACATAAATAACTTTGATGTAACCATGTCTTGGCTGTTGATTAAGCCTTTCATGTTAAGAGGTGTAACTCAGATTCTCAGCCTTGGAGACTTTCCTGTTAATACATCTCTGGACCATCGTAAGCTTTGAGAGGATACGGATACATTGCTGGTGCTCCATTCTAGTTAGGGCCTCATATATGGCATATCTTACTTAAAGTTGTTCAGGTTCATGAAATTTGTTGTCTGGAGATACTGAATATGCAGCTGCTGTTATCCTGTTTGTGGGGTTCCAGCAGTACGTTCAGTATAGTTTACCTTCAGCGAATTTTTTTAAACTTGGTTGCATCCCACTATGGTACTGCTGATCATCTTTCTCCCATTCACTAATGCATACCTTGTTACTTTATAATATATGTATTAGCAAATTTTTTTTTCCTAATTATTTTCTATTTTTAGGCTGGATGAACAGAACTGAGGTATGAATAAACGGCACTTGTGCCAAGATGAAGATTGACAGAACCAAGTTAAAGAAAAGCAGCTCAGAAGTGGTAAGTACTGTACATTACAGTATTGATAGTTTCATTTGCTCAGTGTACTTAAGAGAGTTTAATGTTTTGTCTCTCGTTAAGTACAGTAATTATAAAAATGTTTATATGTACATTTTATGAATTATGAAGTGATCAGAAATGTTGGAAATAAGCTTTCATGTTAAATTTTTTTTTCCTGGCACTTTCAAGTTTTTTTCATTACCAGTCCAAAGACCTTTTGCACTATTGTTTCACACTAATTGCATTTTTTTTTTCAGCCTGGTGATTGTGGTTGGTTAATAGAGAAATTACAGAACTGCAGCAATGAGGAACTTTTACCAGTTCTTCGGAGTGTGGAATCTTGGAGTTATGGGAAATGTGAATTGTATCACTGGATTGATGTGCTGGACAGGTATGCTGCCTTTGGCTTTTTTCAAATATTTCATCCTGAAAGTTGTGTGCCCATTTATTTTCTTTCTACTAATAGTTGTGTCTCATGTTGGATACTACAGTATTTTTTGGAAGCTTGGGTGTTTTACGTCTGTCTAGTGGAGATGTAGATGGTGGGACAAAATCCTGCTATGTGCTTAGTTCTTGAACTCATGGAGTATGCTTAGGCCTAGATACAACTTCAAATGGCAATATACTGTAATAGGAATTTTAATCCTGACCATATCCTTCAGATGCCAATTTGAAGGTAAGGCTTAGTTTGATGAACTAGTAACGTGTCAGGCACACAAGAATGATTTAGGGAGTTGCTACTAATGTTATGAACTTTTGTGTTCATGTACAGTACTGTTCCTATTTAGAGTTTTAGATAGTAATTTTATATTCAGCATTGTACCATGTGAAAAATTATGGAATGTTTATTTTTTGCTCTAGTTATTGTACCATTTTGCTTCAGATAAAGCTTGTGTGTATAGTGAAAACTTTATTTAATGGACTAATGGTAGACAGGGGTGTTGGCAATGCAGATTCTATTAAATCCGGACAATGGGATTGCCTCTCCATCAGCATGATGGTCCATTTACCCAACATTGTAACAATAAAGGACACATCTGTAAATCATGGACTTTGCTCATTATTTATGTATAGTACTTCATCCAGTGTTTATGAATTTAGTTGTTTATAGGCTTTGGTCATTACAGGAGGGTCCCATTTTCACAGCTGTTAGGTTTCCAACCCCAGCCAGTAAGTGGAAATCGTGGGCTAGTGGAAAAGTTTTCAGTATCAAATTCGTCTTAACAAGTCTGATAACGTGTTTACACCATTATATATTAAGTGCTCAGTATAGCTAGGCATAAAAAAAGATGGAAAAGTAAAATAAATACACAGTACATACAGTACTTGTCTTTAACCTTTTCAGAGTTGGAACCCTTGATCTGAAACTTGCTCTCAGGGCTGGAGAATTTAAAAAAAAAATTACTTATGAAATGAAAGAGAACCTTTTTTGAATTTTTATTCATACAAAAGTAGATTTACTGTTATGCAGACTACTGCATTATTGCAGTAATTGTATAAATGTCAGCATGTTTGTGAACACGTATTAGACCTACCAGTTGGTCGTGTATTAGACGAGTGACGTAATTTGTATTCACTGGAATATCAGCAAAAATCTAACATTTCTGCTACTTTGAGTTCAGTTTCAAACTGCTTTCAGTCCTGAAACCAATCAGAATCATCTCTGTAATATATCTTCCATTCTGTCACATGAGACCAAGAAACCGAGAATACAACCATGAAAACATACGAAAATACACCACAGAGTTGCTGTTTTAAACCAAAAATACGGTTGTTTTTTTCTCAGGCACTGCTGCATTTTTTTTTTATGGTGCACACTTTCTGCATAGACCCATTCTCTCATATCGAGGCCCAAATTTACTGCTTATAGTATCTGAGAATTGAGCTCATCACATAGAATAATAGGACCGACCTGGGCTTCAAAGCTCTAGTACAACAGGACTCGCCTCAAAAGGGTTAAAATATTGCATTGGACACCCCATTCCTTATGAAACTGTTGCATGAAGATGGCGGAAAAAGCACCAAACATACTGAACAGTGGCTCGGTTAGAAACTGCTAAAAAAGTGGGACACCGAAAAGAGGGAGCCGAAAATGCAGGACCCTCCTGTAATGGGAAGTTGTTTAAATTGAGATTTTACTGTATTATACTTCAGAAATTTTGACTGGTTTAGGGATGAGAGTTTTGTAACATTGTAGTGACAACTTTGGGAGTTTAATACTATAGTTGTAATGTGTTCATTAATTTTGTTGATACAATCATTAGATTTTTGGCAAGAACGCGACACTTGCGTGAAAAAAATAAGCATGAGGTGTAACTTTGGATAACATTTTGCCGAATGAGCTTTGTCATTGGTGCTTATGCCAGAATTGCAGTTTATGTATAGATTCCCATTTCCCATTGTGATGGGAGATATAATCTAGTATTTTGCTCTTTCCATTACTTTCATATGCAGAACTATAGCTTGTCCTGAACAAAATATCTACAATAAAGGTTTATCCTAGAGTTTTTTCTTACTCTATTTTGTCAGTTAGCGGTGATTGTCAGCTATGAGCAGCTTTTGATAAGGATTCTGGTTGATGGCCTGTTAAGTCCAGCTGTTAAAGCTTATAACTCATTTTAACACTGTACTGAAACCTCCTTGTTAGTAGTTAGCAAAAAAAATCTGGTTTGTAATATTTCCTTATCAGTTCGTCTTAATGTACTTTTTTCTACAGATTTGATACGATATTAGAGGAAGCAGCAGATAAAGATGAAGATAAATGGGTACTGCCATGTGACTTGCCAGAAAATTGTCATGTGAGTAAAATTTTTTCCATTTTCTTAAATCTGTAATTTTTTTTTTTTTTTTTTTTTAACCATCTGAGGAATATAGCCAGAAAGAAATGTGCCACGGTTAATACTGTTACTGCATGTCTGTTCTATTCGTGTTTTTTTCATGAACTTTTGTTTGTTTTACACTTTCCATTTCTGGGAAGCTTTTGTCACTTTTTTTTTTTTTTCTCCTCCTGTCTGTCTGCATTTCTCTATTTATTCTCCCATCATGTCCAAACCATAAATACAGTAATAATTGTTTGACCTGGGAGTGATCATGTCGGAGGATCTCACCTTCAAGGACCATAACATTGTATCAATCGCATCTGCTAGAAAAATGACAGGATGGATAATGAGAACCTTCAAAACTAGGGAGGCCAAGCCCATGATGACACTCTTCAGGTCACTTGTTCTATCTAGGCTGGAATATTGCTGCACACTAACAGCACCTTTCAAGGCAGGTGAAATTGCCGACCTAGAAAATGTACAGAGAACTTTCACGGCGCGCATAACGGAGATAAAACACCTCAATTATTGGGAGCGCTTGAGGTTCCTAAACCTGTATTCCCTGGAACACAGGAGGGAAAGATACATGATTATATACACCTGGAAAATCCTAGAGGGACTAGTACCGAACTTGCACACGAAAATCACTCGCTACGAAAGCAAAAGACTTGGCAGACGATGCACCATCCCCCCAATGAAAAGCAGGGGTGTCACTAGCACGTTAAGAGACCATACAATAAGTGTCAGGGGCCCGAGACTGTTCAACTGCCTCCCAGCACACATAAGGGGGATTACCAACAGACCCCTGGCAGTCTTCAAGCTGGCACTGGACAAGCACCTAAAGTCAGTTCCGGATCAGCCGGGCTGTGGCTCGTACGTTGGTTTGCGTGCAGCCAGCAGCAACAGCCTGGTTGATCAGGCTCTGATCCACCAGGAGGCCTGGTCTCAGACCGGGCCGCGGGGGCGTTGACCCCCGGAACTCTCTCCAGGTAAACTCCAGGTTGCTTTGTCTTTCATATACTTCATGGGCTTATCAGCTTGCATATTAATGGGGGTTTATATCCGAGTTAAGTGTTATATGTATGTAGTAGGTACAATAATAAGTATGGATGTTTTGTACGGTGAGTAGGTTTAGAGTTTTGAATATTGGTGGAATGTGCTGCCTGTAGTGGGAATTTATTCTGACTGCAGCCTTTTGTTGGGTAATTAATGGTCTGAGATGGTTTATTGTTGTTGAGCCCCATGCACAAATTCCATAGGTCAGATAGGGGTAAATAAGTGAGTGATATAGGGCCAGGAGGGCTGACTGTGGAACATAGTACCATATCTTCGATAGTATGCCTACGGCCTTGGAAATTTTCTTGGAAATTTGTTGTACATGTGTTTGAAATTTGAGTCTATTTTCAAGGTGGATTACTAAGAATTTTCCCTCCGTGAGCTTTGTGATAGGCGATCCGTTTATCATTATGTTAAGAGGGACATCTGTAGCCCTGTTTCCAAACTGAATGAAATAGGTTTTGTCAATGTTGAGAGTAAGTTTGTTAATCATCCAGGTAGATATTTTCTGTAATTCAGTATTCACAGTATTGGCTAGCATGACTGGGTTTGGGTGAGAGAAGACTTATGTAGTGTCATCTGCAAATAGTGTGGGTTTGAGTAGTTGTGATGCATTTGGTAGGTCATTTATGTAAACGAGAAAGAGAAGAGGGCCAAGAACACTTCCCTGTGGGACACCAACTGTAATTGGCTGTGCGGAAGAGATACAAGCAAATTAGCTTTATTTTAACATTACTGTATAAAACATACAATAATCTGAAGGCTCACAGGTGTATAGCATTTCAGGCAACTTAGCCTGTACTGTACTTGAAATTACATAATGGTTTTATTTTTTTATACTTATGGTCTCTTGTGTTGTGGGTCTAATACTACATGGTATTAATTAATACGAACTTTAAAATAAATTCAAGTTTATTCATAAAATAAAAAGAAAAAACTGTCTTATTCTAACAGGGAGAAAGATGTTAGTCAAATATGGGGACACTGTCAGCACTTTTAATTTTGGGGATCAGGACAGTTAAAGGGTTAAGAGTTAATTTTCTTAACCCTTTCACTGTCGAGACCCCTGCTTGCAAACTTGCTCTCAGCGTTGAAGAATCTAAAAGGAAAAAAGAAAAATATTCTTTCATGTGAAATGATAGTCTTTTCCCAATGGTAATGAAACCAAAAGTACGAAATTTGCTGGAAAACTTAGGGAATTACGCTCTCAAGAAGTTAGCGGTCTTGGTGATATTTACGCATTGGCGATTTTGCCCAATTTGAGCCGTATTTTGGGCCAATTTCATTGTTCCGGCAGGAATAAATAAAGGGGATGTAAATAGCATGCTGAAAATTTCCGGCCGAGACAGGACTCGCAGCAATGGTTTCATGTTGGAAAAATTCAGATTCAGGAAGGATATAGGAAAGCACTGGTTTGGTAATAGTCGTGGATGAGTGGAACAAACTCCCGGGTACAGTTATTCAAGCTAAAACGTTGTGTAGTTTTAAAAATAGGTTAGATAAATACATGAGGGGGTGTGGGTGAGTGTGAGTTGGACCTGACTAGCTTGTGCTGCTGGGTCTGGTGCCGTGCTCCATCCTTGAGTGGAGGTGACCAGACTGGGTGGGTCATTGGGCTAATCCGGGAGGGGAGGGGTCATGGACCTGCTCTGCATGGGTCAGTAGGCCTGTTGCAGTGTTCCTTCTTTCTTGTTCTTATTTGTGTGTGTGTGTAAGTGTAAGTAATATAGTCTAAAATGTACAGAACAGGGTTGTCACTCTTAAAGATAGAAGTTTGCAACAAGTGGCAAAACATCAGTGTGTATAGCACCTCTGCTGTGTGTCACTGGTTAGAATTTTTCTCTCATTACCTGTATAATAATGGTTACTTTAGTCACTCAAAAACCGTCAACTAAACAGAGAATATCAGTTATTCTAGAAACTGCACATACATGGTGTAATATGAAACCAGATCTAAGATACATATTTAGGTATTGTGGCCCAAACTGAAACTAAACTAGAGGAATATAATTAGTAAATGAGGCAGCTTTTGAAAGGAAAATACTTTGAAAAAGAAATAAACTTTGAAAGTAATGGTGATATAACAGTAAAAGCTACAAGAGTTAAAATTAAACTTTTGGGGCGATGGTGATGGAAATTTCAGAAGTTCAGTGAAACCTCATTAACTGATTAATTGGGAATGGGTGTGTATGATATTGCTAATTCTCCTCCCCTCCCATATTATGAATTTAATGTTTAATGATTGTTTGGTTTTCATAAGTAGTGGATTTGGTTCATTGCCGCAGAAGACAGCCAGAAGTTATGAATATGGGTATTGTAATCTGTAGTACCACAGTACTGTATAGTAATTTTATAGTACTCTACATACTTTACAGTAATTTTACTTACCTTTTTTGTGGCGGAGATATGAGATGTAAGCTGCCATGTTCATAGGCCATTTCATGTGCTTTGTAGGACCAACTGTTAAACCCTTATGGCTAGCATCTACACTAAACTTAAAAGCATAAGCTGTAAGTTTGTCCTTGCTTCTGTGGATATCAAACACTGTTTCTTAACATCATGTTCCTCACATACCCATACCACTGAGATGCCAGACTCTACCTTCTTTATTAATTAGGATTTCTCCTTAACACTGAGAAACCCAAGCTTTCTCTTGGCACCACTGCTTACTTTTGAAGCCATTGTTAATTGCACCTTACTTAATCGTTAAGTCTCGCAAAAGGCCCAAAATCCAGGGAAACTTAGAGACTGAATGATGAGTGTATGCGTGAGTGAGCACAAACAGTAAACTGGCAAGGGTGGCCTATGGCTCGGGGAACAATGAAAGCATGGGTCCTAAACATGGCCAGTTTGGCTTATAATGGGCAAATGTTGTAGTTAGTCGACTTCGCCCAATACTTTGGAAGACCAAACAGGCACTATTGCTATGGTCAAAATGAGGAATTATGGGTTTCTGCCCATTTTTGTCCAATTAGAGCATTTGTTGGGCCAATTTTTTTTTTCTGAAATTACAGAAATCTATTAATGAGTGTTACTGTATTCATATATGCTTGCTTCCCAGTGGGCTGGGTGCTAGTCTAGTAAGCTTCCATAATGAAGTAGAACCTCGGTACAAGAAAAGCATAAAGTTTCGAGTTAGTTGTGCAGCATTTAATGAAGTTGATTCTGTGTTTCTGATTAAAAATGATTGTGGTTACTTCTGTTGCCTGTTCTTTTACATCTTGCTGCTTATGTGTGTGTTCCCTGTCTTGTGCCATTGAATGATGCTCATCAAAATAAAACTTTTAATGAAAACTGTATCTTGCATGTTCATTAAATTTAAAAGTTACTTGTTTATGTACAGCATTCACATAGACAATGACTAAGTTAAGAAGGCACGTTCAAATGAGTCATTTAAGGTCTTTGGGGCTCTTTTTATTAAATGTTCTATATAGAGGTTAAAGTAGAAAAACTATTAGATATTTAGCAAATACTATTTGGATTACTGTTTCTGTAATTATTTTTACGCAAAAGATGTGCATGCACCGATTTCTTAAGGAAATATTCTGCCACGAGTGGTGAATTGTTTAACCCTTACCGTCCAAATGTAGATCTACATTCAAGTGCGTAGCACTCTGACCTTTATTTTCCCCATTTGAAAGCATATATAAAAAAAAAAATGGATCTACGTTCGGAGCTCTACGCATGTGAACGTAGCTCTACATTTAGAGAGTTTAACGGTTAAATGATTTGATCGCTGCATACAGGTCTACAACTTGTCGATATTCCCATAAAAGTTCCTTCATAATTATTTGTATGTTATAGGTTCAAGAGTTGGTGGTATGGGTGCTACACTTCACAACACTGTTGGTCGAGCATTCCTTCTCCCGACATCTTTACTCCTCCGTCGAGCATCTTATCACCCTTTTGTCGTCCACCTCCATGACAATTGTCTTGGCTGTACTCAACTTGCTATACATGTTCAGCAAAAGGTAGGCAAAATAATTGCTTTTAGAATGTTAAGTGCTTAAATTTCATAATGACTTTCATGATCAAAACAGTAGTTAGTTTATGGCAGACATAGATACAGACTTTGCGAAACTAAAGAAAAAGGCTCAATACCGTGACTGGAACGATACACAAATAACCCACACATATGTGTGGTATTTATTGGTGTCTTGTGAAACTACAAATTGTGAATATCATTGAATTTTTTTATGACAAATTTATTTATACAGCATAGACTTATCCATGGAGTGTTATGTATTGGTGTGTACTAGATCATTGTACAGTACCATTGTCCCTGCAAATTTGTGGGCTTTTGTATTTTTCAGTTATCCAACATTTTTGTGGATGGCCAACCAGTGATATAAAGGATACTGAAAACTTTTTTTTAGGATGAGTGGTAAAGAGGTACTTTATTGTAGAATGAGCTGAACAATGATAGTGGAGGAAATGGTATGGTGATATTGACAAGATGTGGAAAAAGACACTTATGTACAGTTCAGGACATTTATGAAAGGAAACATTTCACCATGAGTGGCTTCTTCAGTTCTAATACAGAGAAAACTAAGGAAACGCGTGTATATATAGTGGCAGGAGTCAGGTGGTGTCGCGTGGGTAGAGGTGGTAGTAGTAGAGGGGTAGTTATTGGCTTCTTTCTGAGAGCCTACAGAATTTCCAGTTTGCAGTTCCTTGAAGCATGCACATGCATCACCAATTCCTTTAGTTCGCTACACTTTCTTCTGCACTTCATGTGTGACTGCAGGAAACGTGCGACACGTATCCTCAACGAGACCGACACCAATCAAGTTGATGTGGCCTCCAAGTTGCATCATTTTACTGGTCAGCAACGTTGCTACTAACATTTCAAAAATGTTTGACAGAAAACTAGCTAAAATATCTACCAGCTCGTCAACTACTTTTAGGAACCTGATACAAAAACCCAAGCATAATTCTGGCACAAGTGCAGGAATTTACACTATACCATGTGGGGGATGTGACAAATTATACGTGGGGGAAACAGCCAGATCTCTGTCTGTTAGGATCACCAAACGCAAAAATATTTTGCAGAAATGATGACCATAAAAACTCTCGTGTTCAACATAAGGACGATGTTGGACACCTTATGAAATTCAGCGAGGCTAAACTGGTGATTAAAGAATACGATTTAAAATGGAGAAAATGCATCGAAGCTGCCCTAATTGCTGTCAGTAACTCTAAAGCAAAAGTCTGGTAGTTACAGTATCTCAGAATTGCTTATCAACAGGATATTACCCATTCTGGAAACTTCAGTAACATATCGACAGGTCCCTCTAGTCATCTGTCTCACCACCTTAGTTCTGCTACTAACTACTACTACACTACTGCTGCTACTAACTACTACTACACTACTGCTGCTACTGCTACTACTATACTACTGCTGCTGCTGCTACTACTACTACTATACTGCTGCTACTACTACTACTATACTGCTGCTACTACTACTATACTACTGCTGCTGCTGCTGCTACTACTACTATACTACTGCTGCTGCTACTACTACTATACTACTGCTGCTACTACTACTATACTACTACTGCTGCTACTACTATACTACTACTGCTGCTGCTGCTGCTACTACTACTACTACTACTACTACTACTACTACTATACTACTACTACTGCTGCTACTACTACTACTATACTACTATTGCTGCTGCTGCTGCTACTACTACTATACTGCTGCTGCTACTACTACTATACTGCTGCTGCTACTACTACTATACTACTGCTGCTGCTACTACTATACTACTGCTACTACTACTACTATACTACTGCTGCTACTACTACTACTACTATACTACTGCTGCTACTACTACTATAGTACTGCTGCTACTACTATACTACTGCTACTACTACTATGCTGCTACTACTGCTGCTGCTGCTACTACTACTGCTACTACTACTACACTGCTGCTACTATACTACTGCTACTACTATACTACTACTATACTATACTACTGCTACTACTACACTACTATACTACTGCTACTACTGCTACTGCTACTACTACTATACTGCTGCTACTACTATACTGCTACTACTATACTACTACTACTACTATACTACTACTACTATACTACTGCTACTACTATACTACTATACTACTGCTACTATACTACTACACTACTGCTACTACACTACTACTGCTATACTACTACTATACTACTACTGCTATACTACTGCTATACTACTATACTACTGCTATACTACTGCTATACTACTACTATACTACTACTGCTATACTACTGCTATACTACTACTGCTATACTACTACTGCTATACTACTACTATACTACTCTACTATACTACTACTACTACAGCTACTACTATACTACTGCTACTATACTGCTACTATTATGCTACTACTATACTACTACTATACTACTACTACTATACTACTACTACTACTGCTATACTGCTACTACTACTATACTACTACTACAGCTACTACTACTGTACTACAGCTACTACTACTATACTACTACTACTACTATACTACTGCTACTATACTACTATACTACTGCTACTACTATACTGCTACTACTATACTACTGCTGCTACTCTGCTGCTACTATTATACTACTGCTACTACTACTATACTACTGCTACTACTACTATACTGCTACTACTACTATACTGCTACTACTACTATACTGCTACTACTACTATACTATACTACTGCTACTACTACTATACTACTGCTACTACTACTATACTACTGCTACTACTATACTACTGCTACTACTATACTACTGCTACTACTATACTACTGCTACTACTACTATACTACTGCTATTACTAGTATACTATTGCTGCTGCTACTATACTACTGCTGCTGCTACTATACTACTGCTGCTACTACTATACTACTACTGCTGCTGCTGCTACTACTACTATACTACTGCTTCTACTATACTACTGCTTCTACTATACTACTGCTTCTATACTACTGCTACTACTACTATACTACTGCTACTATACTACTGCTACTACTATACTACTGCTGCTATACTACTGCTACTACTACTGTACTACTGCTACTACTACTGTACTACTGCTACTACTACTATACTACTGCTACTACTACTATACTACTGCTACTACTATACTACTGCTACTACTACTATACTACCACAATGGACCCTCAACCAACGATAATCCGTTCCAGAGAGCTTGTCGTTAGTTGAATTTATCGTTAGTCGAATTAACTTTCCCCATGAGAAATAATGGAAATGCAATTAATCCGTTCCAGACATCCAAAAGTATGAAATTTTTGTTTTCACATGAAATGTACATTTTCCTACACAAAAAGGACACATGCCCAATAAATACATGTACTGTACTAAATGAAGAATAAGTGACCCTTACCTTTATTGAAAATGTAGTGATGAGTTATGAGATGGGAGGAGGGGAGATGGAGGTGTATTATTTTTTGGAAGGGGAATCCCCTTCCATAAGGACTTTAGGTAGCAAGTTCTTTTCCGGGGTTACTTTCCTTCATCTTTTAATGCCACTGGGAACAACTTGAGAATCACTGGACCTCTGTCGCACCAAAAATCTTTCCATAGAGCTCTGTACCTCACGTTCCTTTGAGATTTTCCTAAAATGGGCCACAACATTATCATTGTAAAAATCACCAGCACGGCTTGCAGTAGCTGTGTCAGGGTGATTTTCATCCATAAAGGTTTGCACGTCAACCCACTTCGCACAAATTTCCTTAATCTTTGAAGAAGGCAACTTCCTCCATTTCTCTCCCCTCCTCTGAAGCAATTTCCTCAGTTGTGTCCTCTTGCTGTTGCAGATGCTCTTGCAGCTCATCAGTGGTTAGTTCTTCATCGTCGTCCTCCACCAACTCTTCCACATCCTCCCCACTAACCTCCAGCCCCATAAACTTCCCCAATGCCACAATAGATTCCACAACTGACATAGGCTTCTCATGGTTAACCCCAAACCCTTCAAAATCCCTCTTCTACACATTCTGGCCACAATTTTTTCAAAGCAGAGTTCAAGGTCCTGTTAGTCACTCCCTTCCAAGCCTTACCTATAAGGTTTATGCAATTAAGGATACTAAAATAATCTTTCCGAAAGTCTCTTAGGGTCAGTTGAGTGTCTGAGGTCACCTCAAAGCACTTCTGAAACATTGCTTTGGTGCACAGTTTTTTGAAATTTGAAATAACCTGCTGGTCCATGGGCTGGAGGAGAGGAGTGGTATTAGGAGGCAAAAACTTCACTTTTATGAAACTCGACTCGACTCCCCCGAAATTCACTCTGGCAAGTCTGAAGGATGACCAGGAGCATTGTCTAATACCAGAAGACACTTAAGGTCCAATTAAAGTTCCAGGAGGTAATTTTTCACAGTGGGGCCAAACACGTGATAGAACCAATCATAGAAAATGTCCCAAGTGACCTATGCCTTACTGTTTGCTCTCCACATCGCACACAAATTAGCCTTGACGACATTGTTTTTCTTGAACACACTGGGAGTTTGAGTGATACACGAGTAGAGGCTTCGCTTTGCAATCCCCACTAGCATTACTACACAACATTAAAGTAACCCTGTCCTTCATAGGCTTGTGTCCTGGGAGTGCTTTTTCCTCCTGTGTAATGTAGGTACTGTTTGGCATTTTCTTCCAAAACAGGCCTGTTTTGTCACAGTTAAACACTTGTTGGGGTTTTAATCCTTCAACCTCTTATGTACTCCTTGAATTATTGCACATATTTTTCAGCTGCGTTTTGGTCCGAACTGGCAGCCTCACCATGCCACTATGATTCTCAAATCTCTCGAACCAACTAGTTGCAGGCCTCTTTTTAATTAAATCGTCGTGCAACTGCCTTGCCTTATCACATATGATTGATTGAAAGATGCTATTTCCTGATAAGTTTTTCGTTTATCCACACCAATAACAGTCTCTCAACATCTTTGAGTACTTGCGATTTGTGTTTCGAA